CGCCCCTCACACACACAAACATATAGCCAGAGAGCAAAGCCAGAATCAACCCTGGGGGACTTGGCACAGACCTTCAAGCTAACACTGATAGTAAGTGAAGACTTGTCCCATCTGACCTTCTGATTTGGCTCACAGTCTCCTGTAGGAAAACTCACTTTCTATAATAAGACCCAGAGGCGTGCGTGTCAAATAAACCATCAGACTAGGAGGAGGCAGCAGCTGTGCAGCATAGACCAACCAACTGACTTTCAGGTTTTGTAGCTACTTTCTATTTACTTGGTTAGTTTGGTGACTGGGGAGAAACTTCATTAAAAAGAACAAGTTAGAGAGCCTACATGTGTGAGACAATAGAGAAAAGGGGGAGAGAATTATACTAGATTTGTGAAGACACGTGGGTCATCACCTTTTCAGGTTGTTGTGAACAGGAAGCAACACAGAAGCAGAAGTTTCACCTTGTGTTCACTCAGCTGTTGTTTATTGTCTTAATTAGAATATGCTAATGAACAAAGCCTGTTGTAGAGGCTGGTATTAATACCCAACTGAGAAACTATTTGAGCACAGTGACAGATTGTCACACTGCTGCTTGGTGCCAGGAATTATTTCTGTCTGGGAGCACAGATAATTAAAAAATAATACAGCTGAATTGTTGGTGCAAATTTACAGAGTTCATTCAGATAATTACTCAGCAAACAACACACACTCATGTATTGTGCACAGATGACCCAGCTGGGGACTGAGAAATAACGTATTTTTCAGCTTTCATCCACAGTCAGATCCAACACTATTTGTATGTAGTTATGATTTTCCTATGTGATCTGACTGTGTCCTGTTCCATTAAGGTGCAGCTGGTCCTGGCTCTCTAGCATCTGGTAGTCTAGGAATGTTGCTACTCTACACAGCGTCACTCCCCTGATGCTCAGAAATATGACTCTCCAGTTTAGGGTTACCAAGGCCTCTGCTCTCCTCAGTGTGTTGGCTGTGACTCTGGCTAACTGGAATACTGTCCTGCTGTTGGCCATCAGCGAAGCTGCAGACATCTATGCCAGGGTAATGCTCCCTCTGCTCCTGCTGAGCAGTACTGCTGTCTGTTTGCGTATGGCCTCTCATCCCTTCTTTTGACTTGCTGTCATGCTGCTGGCACTGTCTGATCTGCCCTAATGTGATTTGGAGCTCATTGAGGCGCTGTGATACACAGTGTCTCTTCAGTTCCAGTAGGGCTGTTCCATTACGACTCAGGCTTGGCATGCTTGTTGGTGATGCCCTCTGCAAAAGGATAGATGTCACAGTATGTATTTATATAAAGTATATGTCAATTCATGCACATAGTCTCAAGCAATGATGCAAATATGTAAAAGCAGGCATCCTCATATTTATTCATACTGACAGACACTTTTCTTCTAAAGCTGAGTATGATCAAATGAACATCAGCAAATGTTTGAATGATGATCACCAACTGACTAAATGTATCAAAGTAATCTGTTATGTAATGCTGTAATAATGAACAGTGAGAAAGTCTAATTAAATCTCAGCTTGTTGAAATTTGTAGAACATAAAGGAGATAATTTCTATGCCCTTCACAGCACAGTTAAATTACTATGCACACGAATCCTTTTGATTATGTAATTGCATACATAAAGTGTAACATTTCAGCTAATTACCACAGAGTGGCTGCCAGCACTGTTCTCTCGCTCCTTTTGCCATATGCTCAGTTGAGCTTTCCTGTGTAGCTGCACACTCAGCTGCAAGAAAGACTCACTCATGCGGTCAATTTCTTCCTCTATACAGGACATCTGGAAAAGAGGAAACGGTGGAGTTGCATGTGGTGCTTGGAAAACAGCAGCTACATTCTTTCACAAAGATAGTATCTGATCTGTTACAGTGAGATACCTGCACTGGTGTCCCTTTTGGTGGCAAACCTGCAGAAATTAAACAAGACTTTATTCTTCAGAATAAAAAAAAAGTATGTTGTAAATTGTCTGCATTTATGGACAGTTTTTGTAATAAAGTAGCAAAACTAGTAAGACAAAAATATATCTAAACTCTGAGATGACATTGTAACTCTTTCCAGTTTTTACATAAATTGGTGATCCATGATCACAAGTCTTTCTGAGATCACAAGCGATCTTGACTATGCAAATATGGATTCATGTCATTCATGAGCACTAGGCCTATCCCCACATAAAACAACATGTAGGTTTTTCAGTGCACAATGATCAATGGCTGTTTATATTATGGTTTGACCCTATGTGACATGTGTGATTCTGTTTTACTATGTAATTTACTTGTGTATTAAAGGTGCTCTATAAATAAACTGACACTGACATGACATTGTGTTTTATAATCTTTTCTTTATCCTGTAGATAGTTCTGTTAGCAACTGTTGTTTGCATATTGCATATTCTAAACGTGTCTCACTAGAAAAGTGTCTTACCCGTGTCTGTGTCGTTAGATGTTCTCTGTTTGAGGTCAGAGATGAGCTGCTCTAACTTGAAATGCTTATATTTCTCAAGTCTAGGTTATATGGAAGGGAGAAAATGTTATTTACATTAATTGCATTATTTAGCTGAAAGGAAATACACACCATGCGGTGGCGTTGATGTTTCTCACCAACCTGCGGGCTAATAGGTGCTCAGTGAACTGTGCTTCAGTGGGAACTGTAACGTTGAGAAATTCCTCAGCTAACGTGCCATGCTGCTCCTCTGAAGAATCGAATTTTGACTGCATACAGAAAGCGTTGAGTCATCCGCCCCCACTTGTGCATTATGAGGATGATGTGTGAGGTTTAAATAGCACTTACACACCTCTGCTGTGCTCCATTTGATAGAAGAGTTGAACAGCTGAAGGCTCAGAGTTGAAATGGCCTCATGAAGAGCTTGCATAAAGCTCTGGGGTTTGGATGCTGAATAAACAACACACAAATATAATGTTTCCAGAGAAGATTACATAGTTCTTACTATAAAAGATGATTGAAAGGGCTATTACACTGTACACTGTGCACATAGTGTTGCAAAAATAGGACACAGGATTGGCAGGACTCTCCACTGACCACTTTCTGATTACCTGATGCTATGTAGGCCATTGATAGCAGAATGATAGTGATGAAATGTCCCACGTGTTGAAGCTTTGCCTCTGACACATAAAGGATTTGATTGGTTGCATCAAAAAAGAAGTCCGTGGAGCAATGAGCCAGCAGAGCATCATTAGAAGAAGATGAAGAGACAGGGATCGACTTAGCCAGCAGCAGAAGCACCGAGGGGAACAGGGGGCAATTTGCAAGCAACTGCATCACATGGCAGCCGAACAAGAAAACAGCAGCGTGATGAGGTGAGAGGCTGTCCAGTGCAGTCGGGATGAGTTGGCCGTCATATTTCTCCTGGACAGAATGCTCTATAGCTTCTACAACAAAAAACAACAGCAACAGGAAAACACACTGAGGCCTAATAAGTAGTGTGATTTGCTGTTACATGCATAGTGTGTTTTGTTTATCTTTCTGATATCTTGGATAAAGCACTTAAAACACTTGTAGAGTGTGTTTGTACCATTGTGTAGATGCTGACCAGGCTCAGTGAGGATCTGTAACGACTGATGAATTTCCTGCAGGGTCTTGAATAGAGGAGATATAGAGACCAGCTTGGACAAGTCATAATCACTTAAACAAGGGGCTGTGGTCTGTAGATGGACTAGGGAGAAGAGAAAGAACATATTTGTGGAATATACTGTAACATATAAATGTTGCAACAAACCACTGTAAAGACCTGTTCCTAACCTGGCTCATGGGGGAGGACTTCCTCTTTGGTCATATTCACTGATGCAAACTGTGGATTTAATGTGGAATAATTAAGAAATTTCTACTTAACTGTTCCAAAATATGCTACAAACAGAACAAATGCCACTACAGTACCTGTGCATGACAGGTTTTGGTGTCACCGGATTGTGTGTATCCAGCTTGTGGCTCACATCCCCTGGTATTATGGGGAGCTGTTTGACAGTGTGTGGGACCAGGCAAAACCTGGTTCTGCCAAGCCTCTCCTGTCAGCCTGCATAAGAGAGCTTCCACTGACCTGAGAATAGTTCCCAATAACACTGTAGAGACCTCAGCTGGGGTGATGGGGATGTTCAATCCCAGTCCCATGCATGATGTAGTTCAGAGAGAAAAACATTAAATAAATGATGTGACATAAGATTCAGACTCTAAAAGCACAGATGGTTCAAAAAGTAAAACAATAGGTACATATGGCACATACTTGGTTTAAGGTATATATTTTATTCAGTATTTCTAGATCAAACAATGTGCTCCATTAGTTCTTTTGTTGTAGCCGAGTCACAGACTGTGACAATATTGTTAAAGAAACAGTTTGACATTTGGGAGAATACAACTATTTGATTTCTTGCAAAGACTTATATAAGACCTTTCATGTATGTACATTCAGTATAAAGCTGGAGGCAGCGTTGTCATACAGCAGCACCCCTAACAGCTCACTACTGCAATTAACACCTTACTGTATGTCTGGTTTGTTTCTGTACAAGAACCAAAGTGTAAACATGAGAATTTGTGGTTTTACAGAAGGTTATGTGCAGAGTTTACACACAAGACATAAACCTTTCAAGGCAAATTTGTGATATGGGGCAACACAAACAAAAAATTCATGTGACTTGAAAGTGTAACTTGAGCCTTTTCCCCGTTTCTAGTCTTTATGCTAAGCTATGCTAACGGTGTGCACACTGCAGTTTCATTTACAGTAAGGTATACAGTAAAAGTGGTACTGATCCTCTTGTCAAAGTCTCAATAAGAAAGTGAAGATGCACATTCTGCTTCCCCAAAACACATAATATTGATGTAATCACCTTTGTTTTATGATGAAACATGGCTAATGTTTTTTTGGTCGCTATAAGAGATTCATCATCATTCAGTTTTACCTTGTGCGTTTCTCTCTCCTGCACTGCTGTTACATGGTTTATCTCTCACTGAGCTGTGGACTAGGAGCTCTTTAAGAAGACTCAGTTTTTTATGATCCATATTTTCAAATACATTCTGAAAAAAAATTATGACAATTGAGGATACCATAATTTTTAAATATTACATATGCAATTGCTTTCTTAAAAATAATTATTTTATGCACTCATGTTTTGTCACTATAGCACAACTCACCTTGAGTGTTTCAGTGTGTAGACAAATGTTTTTGTAGAACTCTTGTGTGTCTTTGCGGTGTCGAGCCAGTTGTGACGCTACATGGAGGTTCTGATCCTCTAGTTTGTCATACAGAGTTTTCACATTGAACTCCTCCAAGTCACAGCGGCCTGACACACTTCCTAAGCAGGAGCAGCAAATGCCAATAACATGCAAGTTAGAAATGGGCAGAAATAATGGGTGGGGAGTCTCATCACTTTTTCATTACCCAAATTAATTGAGCAGATACTCTCATAATGAATGGCTGCACCTGGAAATCAAGTTTCCTTAACAGGACTCCATAGTAATTCAGTAGAGTCACTCTAGCTGGCCAGACAGTCAGAGATGAAGCACGCAGTGGATCTTAAGCACTTAAATTAACATTGCACAGGCTAACTACACACAACAGCACAAGTCATTAGACGGTGATATTTGCCATTGCTGCCATTATCATCAATCAAATGAGAAATAGACTGTTAAAAGCAACCTGGTCATGTGGGATGGTTTCATAATGGCTAGGACAATGGATATTTACACACTATCTCTAGCTGCATGAACAAGGCAATAAGCACTAAGTGGGAAACATTTTGGTGATGAGGTGTCTTTGGCAGCCAAGAAGAAGCACTCAAATAGGTATCCACTGAACAATATATTAAGCCAACGGGAACGGAAGAGAACGGGAGTTTGACAGGCGGATCGGTGCAGCTTCTGCAGTAATGCGGTCGATGTACCGGTCCGTCGTGGTAAAGAAGGAGCTGAGCTGTAAGGCGAAGCTCTCGATTTACTGGTCAGTCTACGTTCCGACTCTCACCTATGGTCATGAACTTTGGGTCATGACCGAAAGGGCAAGATCCCGGATACAGGTGTTTCGGATGCCTCCTGGGCGCCTTCCTAGGGAGGTGTTCTGGGCATGTCCCACCGGGAGGAGGCCCCGGGGACGACCCAGGACACGCTGGAGGGACTATGTCTCTCGACTGGTCTGGGAATGCCTCAGCATTCCCCCGGAGGAGCTGGAAGAAGTGTCTGGAGAGAGGGAAGTCTGGGCATCTTTGCTTAGACTGCTGCCCCCGCGACTCGGTCCCGGATAAGTGGAGGAAAATGGATGGATGGATGAATGGGAAACATTAAAAACAGCTTTACCTTATAGTCATTTCAAACATTATCACACACCAGATAGAAACCTGCCAGTGTGTGAAAACTGAAGGAATCTGAACACTTAGCAAAGCCACTGTGTGGGTGTATTTGTCTGGCCAGACAAAGATTTAACTAAATTTCAATGGGATTTAGGTGATGTTTCCAGACGAAAGCCACATCAAAGTGTAATAAATAGTTACCTCCTTTTGAGACAGCAAACTCCTCAGCCTCTGCGCCTTCTCCTACACTCCTACTGCCTAAGATGCCTATGCTTGGAACAGCAATGCTGGAAAAAAAAAAACACAAGCCACTCCATTATTTTACACTATGCCTACCGCCTAATTTCTGCACATTTTTACATGGTTTATATAATTTAGCATATTGTAGTTAGGAATGAGAATGGGAGGAGGGAAGTATGGTGGTAGTGGTCAGTGAGGAGTGGTCATGCTGCTTTCAATTTGAAACATATAAGAAAAACAATGTGTACCAGGACACACAGAACCGACATGGATAAAACACAGTATTAGTCCTGCTGGCATACAGACAGACCTGTCTCCATTGCAAACACACTCCACTGGACAGAAGGGCTCCCCGAGGCTCCGCCACCTTGGCTTTGTCTTCCACTGGGAGATGAGCTTTGCTTTGCTGGGTCGTAGAATTAGCACTGTGGTGGTTAGAACTACAACTAGAACCAGGAGCAGGCTCAGGATCCCTGGACACAGTCAGTATCTTGTCATGATACAATGCCAAGTGCTCATTTGCCAAAGTCACACTACAACATGACTGATTGTGTTATTGCAAACAGTAAGGATACACACCTGTAATCACTCCCCAGTCAGGTAGAAGGTTGAGTCTGTGCTGCTTGACAATTCCATACTTGACCAGCTTTGCTGGGGTCATAGGCTGGAAGACAGCAGCCCTGGGGTCACATTCTGTCGCCTCCTCACTGACCACTACCACCATACTTCTCTCTGGGACAGCGCTGTCCACAAAAACATACTTTCCTCTTTCTGAAAACACATGGGCAAACCTGAGGAAGGAGAGGAATCTGTTGTAAAGAGGGGACATACTGTAGGACCTCATAGATTCAACACTTGAGGTGCTACTTGCAGTATGGACTCAACACTACCTTGTGGAGTTGAAGTTTGTCTGTTTCATGAGTATCTGCAGATGTCTGAAGGCACCAAAGTCCCAGCTGGGGTTGCTATTAAACAGGTGGTCTTTTTGATACACTGGGAAGTGGCTCAAATGGCGCTCTTAGTGGTGTAAAGAAATTTAGAGCAAATTGAAAATATTCCCAACAAAAAATAAATCATAATTTCATGATTAAACCAATAAACGTGTGAAATGAAATAAATTAGTACCAGTGCGGTTGATGGTGAGAAGGAAAATGAGCATGTCACCAGAGGACAAACAGGCGATAGGGTTGGGGATTCGAGGAAGGACAACCACATCAGCACCATCATCATCTTCTGTGTCTCTCCTCTTTCTGGGTCTTCTATTTATGCTTTCTGTTTGTTCTGAGTAGAGGTAAATTGGTGTCAGCTTCCACCCTCGGCATTTAGACAAGTTACATTTTCAACTATTATCCTTTAAATTTACAAAAAGCATGGGAATCAAAAAGGCACCCAGTTAGAATATTAAAAATTGATATATGTAGTCACCTGACAGTAACTGACTGATAAGGTCTCCTCGTGTAGGAACCCAACCAAACACTCCTTCAGAGTCAAACTGGACCAAATGGACTTTCCCAATATTCTTTACATGGATATCTGGACCTAAAATATCCTTTACAGTCTGGGAGTAAACAGAAACAAGCTCAGTGAGAATTGCTGCTGCAGCTGCTCTGTATCGCAACATGATACATTAATTCAAAAATAAAATTACAAGAGTTCAATAACTCATTATGAGTTGACTTATCTGATTAAACTGAAAGGGTATTTGTTTGCATTTGGGCAAAGCACTAAAATTTGTATCTGTCTCAGCTAGTCTGTCAAAGAACCAATGAACAACTGTGGCATATTGTGTTTCTACAAACATTGTATAGCTTTTTTGTGATTACTCAATCTGATATATAGTGCTGATGGTAAAACTTTGTTTATTATTATTATTATTCAAGCAGTGATTCTTTTTACTTTTAAAGTGTGTTTTCCATGGCCAAACATGCAGATTAATGTAAAAAAAAAAATCATAAAATGGTTTAAAGCCTAAATAAATGTCCTGTAGAACTATACCATATGGACAAACAGTTGTCTGTCTCTAAAAACATCTCTAAACCCATTCATGAGCACACACACAAAATATAAAAATTCATAAAAGATTAAATTAGTGGAGAGTTAGCATAAGTGAGTAGCAGCCGTCTTGTTGAACTACTAAATCCTTTTTCTTGCATGGAGAGAGGAGTTCATTACTGATCCCTTTCCCTGCACCATAATGAAATGATATTCAAAAATCTTCAGCTGCAACATTTTTTTCCAAAAGTCCTGCT